GTCTGTTTTTTAAGCGTCTGTCTTGGGCTCAGGTCATGATCCCAGAGTTCTGGGATTGAGCCCCACTTTGGGCTCCCCTCTCAACCGGGAATCTTCTTCTCCCTCTGCCACTCCCCCTGCTTCTGCTCCCTCTCTCTCTCTCTCTCTCATATAAATAAATTAAATCTTATTTAAAAAAAAGAAAGAAAGAAAGAGAAGACCTCCATCAACACAGAATGGTCTATGGGTGGTGCTGGTCTACACAACCTTCGCATACCCAAAGCTGAACAAGCAAATCAGCCCTCCCCCAGTCCCAGACACTCAGCACCCCCACCTTCTTTTTTTTTTTTTAAAGATTTTATTTATTTATTTGACAGAGAGAGACCACAAGTAGACAGAGAGGCAGACAGAGAGAGAGAGGGAAACAGGCTCCCCGCTGAGCAGAGAGCCCGATGCGGGACTCGATCCCAGGACCCTGAGATCACGACCCGAGCCAAAGGCAGCGGCCCAATCCACTGAGCCACCCAGGCGCCCAGCACCCCCACCTTCTATGCAGCACACAACAGACATTTAACTGCACTCACTCACCCAACACCCACCCACCAACACAGCCCGGCAAGATTCTCAATGTGTATACACATCTGCGGTATATGCCACTGTCCGTACCAAGGCAAATGTAAATACAAACACATAAACACACGTCATCATCACTGATTCACATACAAGGGCTCATACAATAAAAACACAAATTAGGGCAAAATGCACTTGCAAATATGCTGAAATAGATACAAACTCAAACCATGTGGCTCTCATAATGAATCTCAGCTCGTGTTCGCAAACTCAAGTTGTGGGGGGAGGGAACCCACATTGCTGAGCCCCTGCCAACGTGCCAGGCATGGAGTTAGCCATATCGATGCATTAATTCATTTAATCTCACAGCAGTCTTGCAAAGGGCGATGTATTATTCCATTTTTATAGATGAGACAGCTAAGTTTCAGAGAGGCAATGGAATGTCGTCAAGTGACAGGGTCAAATATAAACCAAGATTTGTCTGACTTCATAGCCAATGCAGCACGCTATCTCCAAACACATGTGCATAGGCGTGCATATGCACGCATACACGCACACTCAAGGTGTGCCCTCCTTTGTACCTAAGAAGGTGAGTCTTGTTGTCCAGCAACTGCAAGGATTTTGGGAAATAAACATGGAGTTGCCCAGATTCATTAACATTCCCTCCTGTGAAATGGCATTAAGTCATTCAACAAACCCTTGGCTGAGGGTCTTCCTTGTGTCAAGTCCTATGCTAAATACTGGTCACAAAGGAAATGCCGCAGCTGTTGCCCTGAAGGAGTTCAAAGTCCAGTGGAAGGTGTGAGGGAAACCTATAGACAATACAGGACACACAAGAGACCCAAGCTACAGTGAAAGTAGGCCCCAAATGTAGGGAACCAAAGAGAAGGTAAAGCTGGGCCTCCTGGGGTAGTAAGGAAGGCTTCTTTGAGGAGGCATCCTTGGGGGGGTGGTGAAGAAGGAGTGTGAAGGAGATAGATTGGTATTGATTAAGAGATTGGTTTGAGAGATTGAGAGATTAGCTAGGGCGGGGAGGAAAATGCCAGGGCAATGCAGGCCCTGGGGATTTTATATGTCATCCCCCAGTAACTGGGGGAATTAAAAATTTTTGTGGTGGGAAATAGTGTCCGATTTGCGTGTTAGAAAGAATGGATAGAAGGAAGGATATCTTGGACTAGGGAGAACATTCAGGAAGCTACCACCATAGCTCAGGCAGGAGTTGGTAAGGCCTGGTGTATAATGGAAGGTCTCTGGACAAGGTGAGGGATAGACAGGGATGGGGGAGTTGGGATCTATCCTGGTCCTGAGAAAGAGCAAGACAATGAAAATGTAATGAAAGCCTGGATTCTCTCTCAGAACAAGGCATTTATGCATAGGCAAACTATCTTTTGCACATAATTATAGGGGACTTACAGTCCCTGAAGCCCCAGGTTAAGAACCCAGTTCCTTGGAATTCTAACAGGCCAAACAACATGGTGGTTAAGCCTGTGGAGGCTAGAATCAGACAGCGGGCTTCATCATCTCAGCGCCACCACCTATTACCTATATGAACTGGGAAAGGACCTTGACCCTTTCCTCTTCTGTGAAGCAGAAGTGATCCTAACACCTATATTGAGGCTTGTTACAATGATTAAGTGAGCCAATATGTGGAAAGTTCCAGAACCTTGTCTGGAACATTAAGTACTCAGGAAATACTGGCTGCTATTATTATCAGTTAAATCAGAGTGCTTTTAGTGCTTTTAAATCAGAGTGGCCCCCCCACCCCCGCCATGGGGCACCTGGGTGGCTGAGTTGCATTAAGCGTCTGACTTTGGCTCAGGTCGTGATCTTGGGGTCCTGGGACTGAGGCCCGTGTTGGGCTCCCTGAGCCGTGTTGGGCTCCTCAGTGGGGAGTCTGCTTCTCCCTCTCCCTCTCCCTCTGCCCCTCCCTCCCCCTTGTGCATGCTCTCTCTCTGTCTCAAAAAAATAAAGAAAATCTTTTTTTAAAAAGGCCCCCTCACTACACTTATTCTCCTTTGTACCCCACTTCATAGCTGGGGATCTGGTGTCGTCTAGTGTGGCCCTCCAGCCTGAGTCCTGACACCCATTTTGCCCTTTTCCAGAACCCACCCCTTCCTTTTTGGCTTGAGTCTCCATTATCCTCAAGCCTGGTTCTTAGAGTTTAACATTAACCTCTCTTCTAAGAAGAGGAAGGGGAGCCTGAGTGGTTCGGTTAGTTAAGTGTGGGCTCAGGTCATGATCAGGCTCAGGTCATGTTCTCAGGGTCCTGGGATCAAAACCCTTGGCGGTCTCCCTGCTCATCAGGGAGTCTGCTTCTCCCACTCCCTCTGCCCCTCCCCTCTGCTTGTGTGTGCTCTCTCTCTCTTTCTCTCTCTCTCCCAAATAAATGAATAAAATCTTTAAAAAAAGGGGGGGAGGGAGAAGAGGACATAGGCACCATCACCATGGAGACCCAGTTCTTGCCTTGACCATAAGATGACAGTGCTGGGGAGAAGACATTTGATTTGGGGGAAAGGGGACCCTTCAGCATGGGGGTCCTTCCCAGCTCTAAAATCACAGACCACCTCCTCACTGTGTCCTGCCAGCTCCTCTCTAAAATGTCTCAGGTCCACATTTTCCATTAGCTCTGACCACCTCCTCCACCCACCATCCAAGCTCTAACAGGAGGTGGGGGCCATAGATGTCAAATTCATTGAACTTAGAAAAGTGATGGAGGAGAAAACAGGATTTCCCATTAAAAGATCCACCACTGAGGGACTGTGTGGCCTTGATGGGTTCTCTTACCTCCTGGGCCTCAGTTTCCTAATCTGTAAAATAATACCGGCCCCCCATTCTTCATGGGATCTTTGTGAAGACAAAATCAGCTAGTGGTTAAAATTGGAAGCTGCAAACTTCAGGGTGGGTAGGAGTTGCTCTTAGCCCTCTTGGTCTTTTGGGCTCTGTGATCTCCCTTCAGCTGGAGCTGGCAGAGCCCAGATGCCCCAGGACCCCAAATGGGTCTCCAGGACTATCCATAGCTGAGCAGAATGAGCTGCACTTAGGAAGAGGAGGTCTGCAAGTGGGAGACTTGGGATTTTGCACCCCAGCTCAGAAGAAGCACAGAGGCTGTGAGGGAATTTCTAACTTGGGTGAGAGTTAGCAGGGGTCCAGCTTCCATCTCCCATCACCATTCTGGCTTCCATTCTGATGTGGGACAGGTAAACTGGTCCCTAAGAAGCTATGATGCTTGCCCAGAGGAGAGGCCAGTCCAGGCCACCCTGGGGAAGATCCAAGGCTGGCTCAGATCAGATCATTAAGAACTTGAGTCAGCTACCTTCCTCCTGTCTTTTGAGTCCTTAAAACTATGCAGCCCTAGGCTTTCTCCAACTAGCCTTATAGTGACAAGCAAGAAGAAAAACAGAGGGAGGACTGAGGACTGGCTCATGAAAGCTAGCTTTGCCAGCTCACAGCATCCCTGCCCATCTCTCTGCACAACTAGCCTAGACTACCTTTTGACCTGTCTTCCTAAGTTGTGAACCTGAGGGCACAAGGAGTCTTAAGTTTCTCTATCCTCAGTGTTATGTACTGTGCCAGATACACGGCAGTCATTGTAGAATTCCTCCAATAATTCTATTGAGACTTGTGCTAAGTGCTGGGGACACAAAGTTGAACAAGCCAAAGTCCCTGCCTTCATGGAGCTCATTTTTGTTTGTTTGTTTGTTTGTTGTGCTGAACCCCAGGAGCTCATATTTTAGGGAGGAGGACACACAATAAAGATGTAAACCATGACAGTTATAAAATATGGAAAGCGCTGAGAAGGGAACAGAGTGTTGGATGGGGGAGGGATGTTACTTGAGAGGTGACAGGGAAGATCTGAGATCTAAGTTGAAATATTAAGGGTTAAAAAGAACAAGACAGAACATCTTTGCTTAATATTCGTGTTGCAAGTATGGATGGATAGATGAACAAACAGCCAGTGGGGCGGATTCTAATGTAAATGAGAGTTATGCTCCAGGACCCAGTCCCCAGTGTGCTTAACTCTGTAGAAGAGGATGGGCAGAACTGGGGACCCAAGATTCCCAACCTGTGGTCCCAGAACTCCTGTTGAACCAACCAACCTGGCCCGAGGGGCCGCTGGGGGGCGACCGAGAGCCCACTCATTTCCCTTTAAGGCCGAGGCGGAAGACAGAGGAAGAAGAGTCTTTGCGTCGGCGGGATAGAAATAGGCCCGCCCCTTTAAGAGGGCGGAGACGCCGGAGTGGCGGCGACTTCGAAAGCAGCCACGGGCTTCAGCCCCCGGCTTTCCGGCGACCCCCTCTCGGCCCCCGCCCGAGTCGCAGAGTCGTGACTTTCCGACCTCGCACCAGAGACCCCGCAAGTCCGGACTCCGACTGTCCCGCCCGGGACAAGTCCGAGGCCCCGGCGACCCCTCGAGTGGGGGGCCTGCCCGGCTAAACCCCCTCCCCGCCCGGGGTCAGAGGCCGCCTGCCGTCGCCATGGTAATGCCGCGCCCGAGGCGGTGGAACTGCCGCACAACCGGGTTATTAGGGTTTGGGTCAGAGCTTGGTGGCCTCGGGACACCTGGGCTCTAGTCAGGGCTTGCCTGGAGACCCTGGGAAGGTTCTCTCCACGCACCTCCTTTTGGGCCTGCTTCCCTCCTGCTGCTCTTACCTCTCTTCTTGGAGAACTGCTCGTGGTTCTCGGTGTGCCCGAACGTCACGCCTCCAGAGCCGACCCCCTCCCCCCCCACCCCGTACCCCCTGATCCTTGAGCACTGGGTTGCGGCGGTGTGTCTCACTATAGCTCTTGCTGCTCTGGCAACGGGGGGCGGGGGTAGGCACAGCTTGACACATGTCTAAGAACTGCCCACAGCAGCCCTGCTGCCTAGAAAGAAGGAACTCTGGGCCAGGGCATCCAACCCTCCTGGGACGCTGGCTTTGGCACATGGGATTAGGTAGAAGGAAACCACTTGCTTCAGAAACGAGGCCACTGTACTGGGCATGCTTGGATTTATGGTAGCCTCTCTGACGTTTCACATAGGTTCCCCAGGCCAACTTTTTGGGATGTTGCAAAATCCTTCAGCCCATGTGCCCAGTGCTCATGCTAAAGAATGACCCATGCACCCTTTTAAGCCTTCCCCTTGCCTCTTCCTCCCTCTTCCAAGGTGAATACAGATGGACCCGAGTGGATTATTTTGCAAGAAAGGATTCCGAATCCTCTAAATCTTTTTTTTTTTTTTTTAAAGATTTTATTTATTTGACAGACAGAGGTCACAAGTAGGCAGAGAAGCAGGCAGAGAGAAGGGGAAGCAGGCTCCCTGCTGAGCAGAGAGCCCGATGTGGAGCTCTATCCCAGGACCCCGGGATCATGATCTGAGCCCAAAGGCAGAGGCTTAACCCACTGAGCCACCCAGGCGCCCCTGAATCCTCTAAATCTTTTTTTGTTTGTTTATTTTTGAATCCTCTAAATCTTTAAGTAAATCCGATCTCTTCCCTCTTCATCCCTTATTCCTCCCTCAACACTAGGGGGAAAAAAACAAAAACAAAAACAGTACACCCGATGGTCTTGTTAGAATTGGAAAGAAGCGTAGTAAGGACAGAATGTACTTGTAAGCAGTATCTCTCCTCCAACCTCAATTGCTTTGTTTTCCTTTCAGGCATGCAGTTTGCAGAAGCTGTTTACTGTGGAAGAGGAGTTTGAAGATGAGGTAAGGAAGTGTTGGTGATCAGAGATAGCAGAGGACGTCTTGAGTTGTCAACACCCAGACCCAGAACATTTCGAAGCAGTCTGCCCCAGCCTCCTTTTACTTGACATGTATAGCTTTTTTGTCTGTGAGAGGCTGAGAGAAGATGAGACATGTAAACAACCCACTTAACTGTTTTAGAGACAGAAAAACAAAAGATGTGAGCTGCCTAATTGACATACCTTTAAATTACTAGGGCCCTTGCCTGGAAGCTGTGTCATGTGAATGATTCAGTTCACCTTTATGATGACATACTTGAGGTGGGAAGAAAGTTTATGGAGAGCCACAGACAACACAGTTAGTGGATGGCAGGAGGCTTGGGGTCACCAAGTCGCTACATGAGCCAGGGCAAATTACTTCATTCTCTGGCCTTCTGTTTTCTCTTCTATAATAGGAGGGATGTTCTTCTGCCTCAAATACTCTTTCCTCTTGCTCAGAAGATGAGGGATTAGACTATATCAGAAGCTAGCACGTCAGAATCACCCCTGCTGAGGCCTTTCCACACACCAATTAAATCGGAATTTCTGGGGATGGGCCCAGGCAGGGCTGTTTCTAATCTCGGGGTATAGTCAGAGATCACTGAACTAGCTAGCACTCCCCGCAGCTCTCTTCCCGCTCAGATCCAAAGGATATAGTTTGGTCTGGGAGGCCCAAAATGGATACCTGAAACCCTTTTCAGAAAGAGGCAGGATTTAAGCAGGCAAAATGCAAAAGAGGTAAATTAACCTGTTTAAGAACACACCACCAACAACCAGGATGAGGTCTTGGCCTCCTGATTCCAGGCTAACATACATAGATACTAAACTATATTTATAGAGTAGAATTGCTTTCTTTTATCAATGACAAACCTTTCAAACTTGCTTTTTGTCTCCCAGCACTGTGCTTTAAAAATCGAATTTAGAATTTGTCAAGATGGGGCGCCTGGGTGGCTCAGTGGGTTAAGCCGCTGCCTTCGGCTCAGGTCGTGATCTCGGAGTCCTGGGATCGAGCCCCGCATCGGGCTCTCTGCTCTCTAGGGGGGCCTGCTTCCTCCTCTCTCTCTGCCTGCTTGTGATCTCTTTGTCAAATAAATAAATAAAATCTTTAAAAAAAAAAAAAAAAAAGAATTTGTCAAGATGCCCCATTTGTATCTAGTCTGGTGATGAAAGCTGCACCGGGGACCCTCTGGCAGCCCAAGGCCCGCACTCCCCTTCCTTTGAGGCTTTTGGAACCTAAGGTTTGAAAGCGAAGACAGACCTTCCTCAGACCTCTTAAAAACCGGTCTCTGGCTTGTCTCATTCATTGAGGCCCTAAGACATAGTGACAGGGACACATATGGGTTCTAGTCCTGGTTCTGTGAAGTTATTTAACTTCTGAGTCTCCATTTCTGCATCCATAAAGCAGGAATAATAATAACACTTATTAGGACCATCGTGAAAATTCATTGAGAGAATTCCGGTAAAATGTGTATGTGGTCCCGGGCACCCAGTGCCATTTCAAATTGTAAGATGTTTTTGTCATCACTTGGGGACTTGAATTTTGCTTTTACAAAAAATTCAAAATTGCCAGCTTTGTTGAGGAGATGTGTCCCTGTCTTTGCCTTTCAGCTTTGGAGATGTGTAATTACAGGCTGAAAAAGTGACTGCTAAGTGTCCCTTTCGGGTCTTACCAGGTGATGAGAGGACTTCGGGGCTGGCAATGGGATTAAGAGTGAAGGTCTCTGGGGTACCTGGCTGGTTCAGTGGAGCATGTTGGCTCTTGATCCCGGGGTCTTGAATTCGAGCCCCATGTTAGGCATAGAGATTACTTAAAAAAAAAAAAAGAAAAAGAAAAAGAGTGAAGGACTCTGACAGTTCAAGTTTCTGTTCTAAGACCAGCCTCTTTCCTCCTTCCTCAGGCAGATGACATCATGTCTAAGAGTGAGCTCTTTAGGAGAAAAGGATTGTCAGGATTTCATTGCTACTGTAATTCTAATATCGTTATTGCTAAACCCCATGGCAGTCCCGCTGGGGTATGCCATTCTCCTGACAATACATAAAGCAGGGAAAAACCCTTCTCTGGCCCAGACAATCCAATGCAGCACCAAAGGAAGAGGTGGAGGGGACCTACCTGTCAGTTAAATCAGCAGTTCTGACTCAAAAACACCCTCAGAACAGGTCTGTTGCTCTCGAAGGTGTCAATCTCACCTTGCTTCCCAACTGGAATCCATACTTAATTTAACCTGCCTGAAAAGCTATATTTAACTTCTGCCTATTTTGCTGGATCCAGGGCCTCTCTGGCTTACTGAAGGTTGTGTGTGTGTGTGTCTTGGGGCAGGGGGAGAGGAGTGGGCTGAGGACAGGCAGCATGACCGCTGGAGAGACCCCTGTTGCACAGGCTGGACACCAGAAAACTTATTTCCTTGAGATGGGTGTGTAATCTTGGGTGATTCGATTCCTTGGTGCCCTGGTATGTTTGCTTCTGCCTGCTCCCCTGAGTACCACTGCTCCCCCATGCCCCGAGAGAAGCTACCTATAGACTGAGCCTTAGAATGTTTCTTTTTTTTTTTAAGACTTTTTTCTGCAAAATTTTAATTAATTAATTAGTTTATTTATTTTTAGAGAGGGGAGGGACAGAGGGAGAGAGAAGGAATCTCAAGCAGACTCCATGCTGAGCGTGGAGCCCAATGCAGGGCTCCATCTCACAACCCCGAGATCATGACCTGAGCCGAAATCAAGAGTAAAACGCTTAACTGACTGAGCGACCCAGGCGCCCCTCTTCATATTTTTATTTAAGTTCAAGTTAGTGGGGCGCCTGGGTGGCTCAGTTGGTTAGGCGTCTGCCCTCAGCTCGGGTTGTGATCCTGGAGTCCTGGGATCGAGCCTCACATTGGTCTCCTGGCTCAGCAGGGAGTCTGCATCTCTCTCTACCCACCCTCTCTCCAACTCACGCTCTCTATCTCTCAAATAAATGATTGGAATCTAAAAAATAAATAAAATAAATTCCAGTTAGTTAACATACAGTGCTAAAGATTTTATTTTTAAGTAATCTCTACATGCAACGTGGGACTTGAACTCACGACCCTGAGATAAGGAGTCGCATGCTCCACCCACTGAGCCAGCCAGGCGCCCCTGGATGGTTCTGGTAGAAGTCTGGGGATGGTGGGGCGCCTGGCTGGCTCATTCCGTGGAGCATGCGACTCTCGATCTTGGGATCACAAGTTTGAGTCCCACAGTGCATGTAGACATTACTTTAAAAAATAATAGTAAAATCTTTTTTAGAAGTCTGGAAGTGGGCTCATAGGCAAGGTCAAAGGTGGTAAAAGACCCCACCATGGCCTTTCATGCCTTGGTTTCCCGCTTCCATGTATCTGCTTCCATGTACCTGCTGCATCCCTGCAAGAGTAGAAGCAGAGTGTTTCTTGATGTCCGGATGCCAAGAACCACCATCTTTGCTTCTTTGTAGGACTTCTTGTCTGCCGTGGAGGATGCAGAGAATCGGCTTGCTGGCTCGCGGCCTATGAAGGCTGGGTGCCTGAGACCCTCCTCTTCCAGCCCACGGGACTCTGGGCAGGCACAGTCTCCCGGGCAGCTGCCATCCGGCCCCGCTGCTCCTTCAGAGGCTTTGGGCCCATCAGCCCTGGGACTCCGCCTTTCTAACTCCAGCATGCCCGCGGCCATCAGGGGTCCACCTTCTGTAGGAACAGCCTCCCTAAGACCTATCCCGACTTCTAGCAGCTGGACTGGCCATCAGAGACGAGTGGCACTGGCGGAAGTGCTCAAAGTGCCACCCAGACGCCAAACCTCTGCCTCCCACCCCCTGCTCGGGTTTGAGAGCCAGCAGCCGGTAACTGGGGGCTTCGAGGGGCCTGAACAAGATGAATTTGATAAGGTCCTCGCAAGCATGGACCTGGACCTTGGAGGCAGCAGTGAGGCCCCAGGAATCTTGGCCACCTGGCATCAGGAGGACTCAGCGGTGGCTAAAAAGGCCCGGGTCACTGAGCTGAGTGGGTCTTGCCTGAAGGGGCCCGTGCCTGCCCCCAACATGACTAGTGTCCTGTCAGCCCATGGTGAGCCTCCAGAGCCTGTTGTCCACTGCAGGACTCCAGAGCCCCATGCGAGATCGGCTGCCACCAATGACCTTCCCATTCCTGTTCAGCAGCCCCGCTGGGAAGCCTGTCGGGGGGGCCCCCTTCTTCAGGCACCACAGCCTCCCCAAGCAGCTGGCAGGCCTGTTCAGAGCTGCCCTCAAAACCGTTTCCCTGGTCACTCATTCCAGTGTCCAGACGCCTCCATACCTGGCAAATCTCATTTTCCCGGACCACGGACTCCCAACTCCATGTGCTCTACTCCCTCAAGGACTATCTCCGGATCGTTTCCTCAGAGCCCCTTAAGACCCAGAGCACCAGTGTCTTCTGTCAGGTGTCCTCTCAGCACCCCAAAGAGCACCCATTCCTCCCCGGTTCCCCAGACAGCTCTGCAGACGCCCATCGTCACCAACCACTTGGTGCGGCTGGTCACTGCCGCCCACCGGACACCCCAGCAGCCCGCCAGCCCCAAAACACGGCGCTTCCCTGGCCCAGCCGGGGTCCTGCCTCACCAGGTGAGGGACAGTTGTCCCAGACATGGGGGGTGGGGGGTGGCGGAGGAGGGAATGAAGTGTGGAGAGAGGGTTTCCAGAGCTTCGGTAGAAGTTAAAAGAAGTGGGAAGGAAGAACTGAATACCACAGGTGAGAGAGGCGCTCCAGGCTCTGAGAACCTCACACCTTTCCTTTGTTGAGCACCTGCTGTTTGCTAGCACTGGGGCAGTAAGAGCCACTCACTTTGTTTGCTAATTTGGAGCTGAGAACACGAAGGTTAAGATGGGCATGGCTCCCATCCCAAGTTGTCCACAACACAGCAGAAGCAGCAGATGCAAACGAGCGGTGAAACGTAAAATGCAGAGTGTCCCTCGGTGCTGCGGAGACTCTGGGTTCCTTGGGGTGACTGAGTGGGCTTTGGAGGGTCAGGTAGGAGGTAGATGGACAGGTGCGTGTAGGAAAGCTGTGCTCTGGGGGACATCTCAGCAGTGGGAAGACAGGGAAGAGAAGGTGCAAAGGCCCAGAGGCAGAAGGGCAGGATGCTGTCAGAGGTACACAGAACAGGCCACTGCGGCGGGCGTGTGGTGTCAGCAGGGGGAAGCTGTGCTGTGCCAACTGTTTGGAGTCAGTGGTGGTGGAGGGACAGTTTCCGTCAAACCATCTTGGATCAGATCCCAGATAACGGGACCCTGAGCGTCTGGTCTGGTGTGATTGGTGCACTCCTTTCCTCATTTTAATGCTGGTTCAAATCATTTCTGCCTGTTCCTTGCCCTTCGCTGGCACTCTAAGGGAAATCCAAGGAGGCCATCCACATTCCTCCTGGGCTGGATCCCTGTGGGGAAGGGTTAGGTCCCTGAGAAGGGACTTGGAGAAAGCTGCCTCTGTGCCTATCCCAGGCCTCCCTATCCGGGTCATTGGCTCCTTCAGGAAGCCCTGGGTTTTGCTCCTGGGCCAGCTCCAGCTTCCTCACATTCCCCAAACAATCCCCAAAGCATCTTTTTTGAGCTGCCAGCAAGGCTCCTGAGACTTCGTTAGGAGAGCTGTGATATGTGTTAATTGTCCCCAATAGTTTCCTGAACTCATTATGTAACCCAGACAAGAAGCTGTACTTGTGAGTAACAGCTGCCGCGCGTGCTCTCGCCTTCCCGTTCTCTCTCCCCTTGTAGCTCAGCGGAAAGCATCTGGAGGAGATCATGGTTTCTACGCCCCAGACTCCGACTCATGGTGCTCTGGCTAAATTCCGGACAGAGGTAACTAGTTCCACGCCTATGCTGACTTTCTGGGCATCGTTTAACGGTGAGGGACACCCCTGTGGGTTTCAGGAGTTGAGAAGCGGAGTCTGGGGTACTAGGCCTTTTCCGGGGCTCCCGCACCAGAGGTACATGGGGAAGGCCGTTTGGGGATGTGGTGGTTTTACTGGCCGAAGATGAAGCCTGTCCTGATGCCGACCGATGTCACACGTCCAGTCTTCTTTCTCACCTAAGAAAGAAGGCCCAGCTAACTCCCATCTTCCCTCAGGGGAGGGCAGTGTCACAAGTATTAGGAAATTGTGTCTCGGGAACCCCTCCTCAGCAGGTTTCTGGGAATTGAGCTGGGAAGGATCTGCCTTCGTCTGGCCTCCAGTGGGTTCCTTTTGGGTGGGTGAGACCCATCTTCCCTCCTCACCGGGGTTCTGGTTGACCTGCTCTACCCTCAGACCCACTTTTGCTTTTAATTCTCTTTGCTGCCCATCCACAGATCCATCCGGTTACAAAGCTTTTCTTTTAAAAAAAAAAAAATTTTTTTTTAAGATTTTATTTATTTATTTGACAGACAGAGATTACAAGTAGGCAGAGAGGCAGGCAGAGAGAGAGGAGGAAGCAGGCTCCCTGCTGAGCAGAGAGCCCGATGTGGGGCTCGATCCCAGGACTCTGAGATCATGACCTGAGCCGAAGGCAGAGGCTTTAACCCACTGAGCCACCCAGGCGCCCCAAAGCTTTTCTTTTTTAAAGATTTTTTATTTATTTATTTGGGGGAGGGCAGAGGGAGAGGGACCAGCAGACTCTTCACTGAGTGCAGAGCCCAGCGCTGGGCTCAGTCCCACAACCCGAGCAGAAATCAAGAGTCAGACGCTCAACCGACTGAGCCACCCAGGTGCCCCAAACATTTTTTAGTGTAAGAAGGTTAGTAGTTAAGCCAGAGGCATCCCAAGTAAAATGTGACTGGTTTCAAAATGGCTAAGGCACTCTGGAAACCTGTCAGTGTGAGGGCGGGGGCTCCACGGCCCCAATACTTCTCGAGTCTATTACACAAGTGACATAGCCTTTGGCTTCAGTGCAACCAAAGTTAGGACCTGATATAAAATAAAATAAAATAAACCTTTGGTATTGCTGCTTAGTGAAAGATATGCTATGCAGCAAAATCTCTCATACCGTTTTGTGACGTGGGAGAGGAAGAGACTGGTTACCATGCTACAGGGAATTCGCCCTTCCCTCCCAGCCCCCCATCCTGTCTCAGTCAAGGTCAGAAGTGAGTGGATCCACTCACACAGGCCCCCTCTGCTCTGTGGTACCAGATTGTTACCAGTTCCCAGGCATCAGCAGAGGAGGACTTTGGGCGAGGGCCGTGGCTGGCCATGAAATCTGCTCTGGGCCTAGACGAGAGAGACCCCACCTGCTTCCTCTGTGCCTATAGCATTGTCATGGTGCTGCGGAAGGTAAGGATACTGGGTGCTGAGCTGTGCAAGAAAGACCATTTCTTTTCCTTTCTTTTTTTTAAGATTTTATTTATTTATTTGACAGCGAGAGAGACAGCAAGAGCAGGGGGAGCAGAGAGGGAAAAAACAGGCTTCCCGCTGAGCAGGGAGCCCAGTGTGGGGCCTAATTCCAGGACCCTGGGATCATGACCTGAGCCCAAGGCAGACGCTTAACGAATGAGCCACCCAGGCACCCCAAGAAAGACCATTTCTACCCTTTCTACCAACCTGCTGTCCTCCTCCACCTTAGGAAAGGGGGCTGTCCTTTTGCTCCCTCTCACCCCAGGCCTATCTCCAAGCAGCTACATGGAGTCCCTTTGGTTGTATCTTCTCCTCACCCAGCATTTCACTACTACTGGTCACAGGTAGAAGGTGAAAGTGGGGTATGGGTATGTCTCTGCGTGTCCAGGCCCTGGATGAGATGGGGTGAGCACACAGCTACCCTTCAAGCTCCCAAGAGGTTCCCACCTCATGTGAGGACACATGCCCATGGCCCGCGGAGGTGGAGCTCTGTGTAAATACACATATGCTGGAGAAAGGAAGCAGGGGGTAGTGATAAATGAAGGCCCTGCCAGCCTCAGGTCTGCTAGAGAGACAGGATGAGGCCTTCAGACCGCCCTTCTGCCCTCCACAAAAGGAAGATCACCATGTCTTCCTCGGCCCCCCTCCCCACCCCCTCCCCACTCCAGTTGCCCTGGCCCACTTGGGAACCTCACTGGTGGGATGCCGCTTGCTCAGCAAATGCCTCTCCTCGTAACCAGGCAGCCCTAAAGCAGCTCCCTAGGAACAAGGTCCCCCACATGGCCGTGATGATCAAGTCCCTGAGGCGGAGCGTGATGGACGCCAGTGTGGTTTTCAAGGACCCCACAGGTGAGCAGTCAGGCCCTGAGCGGGTCTGATGAGTGGCCTTCGCTGAGTTCAGGGGATGAGGAAGAGTCATCCTCTCCATCTGCAGACGGGAAAATTGAGGCAGTGAGTGGCCCACTTCCCAGCCAGGGCCCAAAGCCGTCCCTGTGCTGCCCTTGACCCAGCCTGATGGGCCACGTGGTATTTGCAGGAGAGATGCGGGGCACAGTGCACAGGCTGCTGCTCGAGACCCGCCAGAGTGAGCTGAAACCTGGCTCGGTGCTGCTGCTAAAGCAGGTGAGGGGCGCCCCAAATGGGGACCTGCTCTCCAACCCTCCCACTCTGGAGAAGGTCCCTGAGGGGTTGGCCTGGCTCCCATCCTTCGGAGGTGGGTGGGGATGAGGGGTGGTGCTATGAGGGACGGAGGGTGTGGTACACGGTTCTGCTCTGGTCCCAGGGCTGGGGCGAAACCATCCGTGTGACCCCGGTGCCGAGGCCAGCAAGAGAGACGCAGGCGGGGACCGGGTGGCATCTGACAGTGTCTAGGGCTCCACGAGGACACTGACCTTCCCCCGTCCCCGGCTCCAGGTTGGAGTGTTCTCTCCTTCGCTCCGGAATCACTACCTCAACGTGACACCCAACAACCTGGTCCGTGTTTACAGCCCAGAGTTCGGGGATGGGAGCTTCCTCAAGCCGTCTCAGCCCTTCCCCAAGGTAAGAGGAGCAGGATGGAATGGGGACCGACAGGGCCTCTGGAGATGCCTCTGGAGACGGTGCCGCATCCTTCTGTTCCCAGGGCCCCCGCCTGCCAGATGGCACAGTAACAGGACCTAGAGCAGCTGGCTACTTGGTGATCTGATGGCGGGCTTGAGCACCCGGGAGGATGGAGTCACCTGAGAACTAAGGAGACTGTGGGTTTCCCAGGTGGGGGGTGGTGTGGCCCTCAGTAAGTGACTCAGGGTCAGATCTGCTACAGGCGGCGGGGCGCAGAGCAGGGAGCTACGCACGGCCTGTCATGTGAGCCAGCCCTTGCTCTGCATCTGCCCTCCTGGCCTCCACCTCGACTGGTTGGGGGGGGGCACCCGCACAGAACTCAGGAGGAGACACCCCCCCCCCTTTGGGAACTAAGGGAGACTGGGGTTCCAGGCAGCTCCACTCCAGGTTAAGAGTGCAGAGCTGGCCCTTAACTCGGAGCATGGTGTCCCCTCTGTGTCCACCTCCCCCCTTCCTGGGGTCCTGGGTTGTTGGGCCTGGCCTGGGGGTGGGGAGACCTCCTGTCTCCACTCTGCTGGTAATTTGTAACTTGACCTTGCATGGGTCCCATCCCCACTCCTGCTGTTGCTTCATCTAAAAAGCGAATGCTTTAGACTTGATGACTTCTACTCAAGTTACACCTTTCGCTCGGTGGGGCTACTTCCCATTTCCCTCATCTTTCCCCTTAACCTTCCACATTTTCTCAAAATCACCCCACTCCCAAAACCTCAGCCTTCTTTTTCTTTTAAATGTCAAGTTACCCATACACATTGACAAAAATTGAAATGGTACAAAATAAAGCAAAACATAAAACTTACTCTTCTCCTTTCCCATTCCCTATGGCGAATGATGGTCAATAGCTTAATTACTGGGGTGCCTAGGTGGCTCAGTGGGTTAAGCCTCTGCCTTCAGCTCAGGTCATGATCTCAGGGTCCTGGGATCGAGCCCCGCAACCCTGTATCAGGCTCTCTGCTCAGCGGGGAGCCTGCTTCCCCTCTCTCTCTGCCTGCTTCTCTGCCTACTTGTGATCTCTTTCTCTCTGTCAAATAAAAATTAATTAATTAATTAAATTAAAAAATAATAAAAAGCTTATATTCTTTTAAAAAACAGCTTAATTACTAATTTCCGTTACCTACCTGTATATTAGCTAGTTTGCAGATTCTTAAAAGGTTTTTTTGGTGTTTGTTGTTGTTGCTCCATTTAGTGAGGGAAAGAGAGAAAGAGAGAATCTTAAGCAGGTTCCACACCCAGTGCATGAGCGTGACATGGGGCTCAATCTCCCAACCCCTAAAAGCTCATCTTTTTTTTTTTTTTAAAGATTTTATTTATTTATTTGACAGACAGTGAGGGCAGGAACACAAGCAGAGTGAGTGGGAAAGGGAAAGCAGGCTTCCTGCTGAGCAAGAAGCTGATGTGGGGTTCGATCCCAGAACCCTGGGATCATGACCCACGCCAAAGGCAGAAGCTTAATGACTGAGCCACCCAGGCACCCCCTAAAAGCTCGTTTTTAACCCCAGGCCAAATCCTCAACATATTTCTGAATGGCCTCTTCACTCTGTTCCTGGTATATACAGATTTCCTAAAACACCAGATACCAACAGAATTAGGAAAGAAAATGGCCCAAAAAAGTTTTTTGTGTTTTTAATTACTTGCTCTTTGGGGTGTTTGGTATTTCAGCTCCCTCCCCTGGGTGACTGGCCCCTTCCACACTCCTCTGTCGTGTCTTTCCTGAGCCCCTACCTATTCTTTTGAGGTTGTCTGGGTGGTATGGAACTATCCAGAGGGATGTCGGGGGCACAGACATTAGTAACCAGGCCTTCTGTCCCCAGAACCTGGGAAGCTTCCCTGGCAGCCCCCATCATGAGACTGCAAAGTCTGGAAAAGGCTTCAGAACAGCACTGAACGCAGAGGCAGGGGCATACCCCGAGGAAGAGCTCCCAGAAGCAGGTAAGGCAGTCAGCCTACCCAGGAGCAAAAGTGGTTCTCCTTCTATTTCCTCTTGGATAGCACAGCCAGGAGAATCTGGCTACATCTTTTCCCTCCTATTGTGAATCTTTGGGTCTTACAGAATCTTCCAGAAATCAGATGTGGTATCTTTTTTGGCAAGGCTGTAGGCCACAAACTAACTATAGCAGTGTGATTGGGGCTACATAAACAAATACAGTGGTATCCACGGGTCGCCCCTTTTCCAGGCCATGTGGTTACCCACAAGGAGGGGATGGACGGGCACCACCCCTGTGCCACACCTTGAGTCTTCTGGGGGCTGATTTCCCCATTCTTTTTTTTTTTTTTTTTTTAATTTGTCAGAGAGAGAGGGAGAGAGAGCAAGCACAGGCAGACAGAATGGCAGGCAGAGGCAGAGGGAGAAGCAGGCTCCCTGATGAGCAAGGAGCCCGATGTGGGACTCGATCCCAGGACACTGGGATCATGACCTGAGCCGAAGGCAGCTGCTTAACCAACTGAGCCACCCAGGCGTCCCTGATTTCCGCATTCTGACTAAGCTCAGAGATCCTGCAGGCAGGGCTGAGGAGTCAGACATCCATGGGTTTAGGGTGGCACCAAGAAACAGACCTGAGAAGCCCAAACACAGACCTGTCAGGGTATGACCAGCTTGTTCCTTGGGAGGGAGCATCACCCACGTGGAGCGTACACGGTCCAAGTGTGAGCTTTAGCTTTTGGATTCCATAAATTCAACCCTGTCCAGCCCCAAAATTCATGGGATTATGGGTAAGCGTCTCACGTTAATCAAATTCACATTGGACTAATGGATAAACCACATAAGCCAATTTACTTATAGCCTACGAAAAGGTATCTACCCCTTATGCTAGAATCTTCCCTGAGATGTTGCACTCTTTCCTTGTAAGTAAGCTGGTTGACAAGCCAAACCATCATCAGGAGGTTACTGGAGCTCATGAAATAAGTGAGGAGAGTTGTCTGTAGAGTATTGTGGCTGGCGTCACATCTCCATTGTAGGGATAGACTCGCCAAGCAGGCAGCTACCAGCCGTGGCTGGACAGAGCCGGGAGACACCAACACTAGTTCTTTTTTTTTTTTTTTTTAAGATTTTATTTATTTATTTGACAGCTCACAAGTAGGCAGAGAGGCAGGCAGAGAGAGAGGAGGAAGCAGGCTCTCCGCGGAACAGAGAGCCTGATGTGGGGCTCGATCCCAGGTCTCTGGGATCATGACCCGAGCCGAAGGCAGAGGCTCAACCCACTGAGCCACCCAGGCACCCCACCAACACTAGTTTTTACTCTGATTCCCAGTTTCCTAGGCCCACAGAGTCTGCTCGTTGCCCTTCATTTAACATCAAGTTTCCCCGAACATAGTGTAACGAGTGAGGGACACCTTTTTTTATTCTTATTTTTAAGATGTATTTATTCATTTGAGGTGGGGGAGGAGCAAAGGGAATGGAAGAGAGAGAATCGCAAGCAGAGTCCCGGCTGAGCGCAGGGCCAGATGTGTGGCTCGACCCCAGGACCCCAAGATCATGACCGGAGCGAGAATCAAGAATCGGCCGCCCAGCCGACCGACCCCTGCCCCCCAGGCGCCCCATCACCTTTTGTTGTTACAATCAAATTCCAGTCTCACTCCCTAAGTACAGTGCCAGGCACCTTAATTAAATTTTGAATGCTAGGGGCGCCTGGGTGGCTCAGTAGGTTAAAGCCTCTGCCCCCCCCCCCCGCCTGCCTCGCTGCCTACTTGTGATCTCTGTCTGTCAAATAAATAAATAAAATCTTAAAAAAAAAAAAAAAAAGTCCTACCAAAAAAATTTTTTTTGAATGCCAGCAAGCGGACTTCTTTGAGCAGCGTGGTTGTCAGGAGCTCTGTGCCAGGCCGGAAGCTAGCCTCTGCAGGTGTGGTGTCCAGTTCTGACCCCGTGGGCTGCCTGAGCCCATCCATCACACCGGAGCTCCCTGGTTGGGAGCTGTGTGCTTCTGGCCTCAGATGGAGCTTGAGGACGCTTACCACCAGTTGCCTGACCGCTTTAAACTCCATTCTCTCAAAGCGGGGATGGTAAAGAGGAACCACGCCCTCCAAAGGGCTTTGTGAGTTCGGAAAGGGATGAGTACAGCAGGTATGGCCAGGAGCACTGGCTCAGAGAGCGGTAGCTGCTGTTGTTAACTGGGATAGTCCCAGCAGGGATGACTGAGATAGGTGGCTTCCAAGTTCTCAGACACAAGCTTGTAGCTGCAAACTACAGTCAGGGAGAGTTGCTTTCATTCCACGCGCCCAGGAAGGCCGACAGGGGAAGGGACCCATGTCTCACGCTCTTCAGGTGAGAAATGGGATTCCCGAATGCCGTGATTCTGAATGCGTCTGATGGCTTTTTCTGGCCTTTTGCCTTCCTCCATCCAGTGAGCGGGTTGCGCTGGCAGACCTCTGCAGCTTCTCTGGTCAAGCACTGTGCCTCTGGATGGAAAGAGGGCCATCCCCAAGGCCAAGGGGAGCGTCTTTCTTGACAGAAAGGCCCAGGTGTTTTGTCCTTGTCTCTTGTGATGTGTGCATGTGTGGGAAGCAGAGGGAAGCCGGGAGTCCGGCCAGCCTCAGGCCCAGTCACCACTGCCCAGGGGGAGGGAACTCCCCAACTGTGCAGCCAGGTCCAGAACCCCCTGAGAGGCAGGAGCTTGGGACCCGAGTCCCATGGAACCCTAACGTCGTCACTAAGTCCGTCTACCCTCTCCATGTCCCCCTGCAGATGACCTGGATGGACTCCTCAGTGAGCTCCCTGAGGACTTCTTCTGTGGGACCAGCAGTTGGGACTGCCCCAAGGCAGCGCCCCCGCCATGAGCAGGCAGCCTCTCGGCACCCAGGCGAGCCTCTGCTTGTGTCTGATTGGGTCCCAGGGAGAGAGCAAGCCCAGCCTGATGGGACAGCCAACAAAGCTCAGGACTGTGGTTGCCCCCATCCTGGACGCCTTCCCAGGAACACCCTCGTCCCTCAGATTCTGCACTGCTGTCACATTGGGTCTTCCTTTGGCATTCTAGAACCCAGCCCCAAGGATGGCCCTTCTGCTCTACTGTCCTCCAAGCCCTTGGATGCCACCATCCCTTCTCCTCCTGCCAACAGGGAAGGTGTGTCCCCCTCCTGCTTCACCTTGACTTTCGAGGACCCTGATCCCTTTACTCCCTATTCCCTGGACAGCTGAAGAGTCACACCACAGTCGTGGTGACCCATCCCTCTGGTTAGAGGAGGAACACACTCAGACCTTCCTCTGCTTTGTCTCTCCAGGCCTACAGCTGCCCGGCTCACCTGTGCTCAGGGTTCCCAGGTGCAGGGGTGGGACAAGGCTGTGGCGTCTTGTTCGGAAATAAAGCAGCTGTCTGCTTCACTCACCTCCCCCTCTCCTTTCCACCCCCACTGCTCCTTGTCCCGCCCGGCCTACGGCGGTGCCTGGCCAGGACAGAGCCAAGCTGCTCATTTTCCTTCCCTCTCTCACTCTCTTTTCATAAACTTTCCTTTGAGACAGTTTTAGATTGACAGAATTATTGCAAAGATAATCCAGGGAGTTCCTATATACTCCACGCGCAGTGTCCTCTGTCATTAGCCTCTTACACTAGGATGCACACGGCTTACAACCGACCAGCCGCTGTTGGGACACTACTATGAACCAACCTTCATGCCTTATTCAGATGTACGTGGCTCCCCTGTCGTCCTTTTTCTGCTCCAGGATCCCACATTCCCTTTAGTCTCCGGGCCTCTTTAGGCTCCTCCTGGCTCTGACAGCTGCGGAGAGTACGGAGATGATGGTCAGGCATAGTCTAGGATGCCCTCTATTGGAATTTGTCTCCTTAAAGAAAGATGACACCGGGGTTGTGTGTTTTGCTGAGGAAGGCCACAGAGGAAGGCATATTGTCATCACACATCAAGGATGGATGTTGACCTTGATGACCTGACTGAAGTATCGTTTGTCAGGTTTCTCCACTGTAAACTTGCTTCTTCTCCATCTTCATACTGTCCTCTTCGGAAGGAAGTCACTGGGTGCAGCCCACACTTAAGGAACAAAGAGTTATGTCCCACTCTCTCTAAGGACAGATTATGGATAGATAGATTCTACAGATTATAAATAATCTACAGATTATTTGGAATTCTCTCGCATTTCTTAGTCCTACATTCCTATCCGTCTGGACCGTGGGTATTGTTTTATGCGATGGGTTATAATCCAATGCTGCTTTTCTGTGTGGCCCAGCAACTCCTTGTCACCGTAGCTTTGCTCTGCCACCTTTCAGACCGGAGCTGGACAAGGGGCACCTGTGCAGTGTAAAAGGCCTAATTATACCAAGTCGCCAACCTTGTTTTCCTTTCTGGGATGAAGGGAAGAAAGGACTCATCCCCCAGCTCGTGGTGGAGGGAGTGTGGGTTAAAGACCCTAGTCTGACCGCCGGCCTCCCCTGCCTCAGCCCCTGCCTTCCCTAAGGGGCTGTGAGTCTGAGGCCTCCTGTGGGCTCTGTACTACTTCGTACTACTCTCCCAAAGAAAGGCTGATCCCCTGGATCCCAGCCTCAAAGCTGAAGTGAGCGAGTGCTGGAAGAATTCCACGTTCAGCTGGCTGCTGGTTGCAGTGGGGCCCTGTTCTAGAAGACTTTTGTGTTCCAAGCCCAGGAGCAAGAAGGGGCTAATTCACCCGCAGCCCTCCTACCTGAACAGATGTGTGCTTCTAGCTCTCCTGCCCACTGCTGATCCCCCAGCTCTGCGGATGCCGCTCAGACCTGGGCCTGGGCCAGAGGCCGCCTATACTATATGGTCTTCCCGCACCTAAACCATCCCATACCCCTGGCCCGCACTACCATGCCCCAGTCAACTCCCTTGAGCCCTGATCTCTAGGGCTCATGGTCCCGAACAGGGTCCTGGCTTCTGGGTGCTTCGTCACCCTACAGGCTCAGCCCCCAGAAGGCCAGGTGGGGGTCCAATCCCCTAGCACTGAAGTGGGCTCCCTGTGGGTTCGTGTGTGGGTTGGAGTCAAAGCCGCCTTTTTCTGCCCTCAGGAAGCTAAGGACAGGAGACAGAACACAGGACATCTCTGGGGGATGGGGCTGCAGTCCGAGTAGCCTCAGGCTTATATGACACAGACAAGAAGCCTGCAGAGAGGCTGAGGAGGTCAACACAGCCTTGCATCCCGCACGTCATGGCTACTGTATGCCTCAGAAGGAAGGGGACGCCTACCCCACCTTGGCCCCTCTTGGCCCCACCCGGCCCTGTCAGCTCTCAGCCCTGGGAACCCAGCTGTGGGTGCTCAGCCAGGCCGTTGGCGGGGCAATTAAAACACTGAATGGGTTCCAACAGGGTTAATCACAGCGGCCTTTATAGAGGCGCCTTTCTCTGAGGATCTCCAAGACCTTGCAGGGCATGATCTCATTCCTCCTTCTGGGATCTGGGAACCCCCCACCCTGGAACACCGCCAAGAAGCTGGGCCTGGAGTGGGTGAAGAGCAGGGTAAGGGCAGTGCCGAAAGCGGCCCGGGCTGCTGCCACCCACGAGGGCAGGCAGATGAGTGTTTGTTCTGGCCGAGAACAAGGGCCCTCAGTCAATGCCCTGCACGTAAGGGACCGGCCTGCAACGAGCCAAGCGCTCCCGAACCCCACATTGAGACCTACTGTGTGCCAGGCCCGGCTGGGTTGCAGAGACCCTGCTGAATAAATTCGGGTCCTGCTCTGGAGCCCCCATCCAGCATGGCAGACTTCCGTCCACAGCAGGTCGGGACAGGCCCTTGATGAAGTCCGTGTGCGGTCCTCCCAGAGCAGGGGTCAGGGAATGGCCGGGAAGGCTGAAGGGCCGCCATGAGGCTCTGAGCCCAGACACTGGTCTTGCCTGGAGAGGGCTGAGGTTGCAAGCCCGCAGAAGTTTTCAAACTAGGAAATGAACCATTTTAGACAGATCCTTCCCCTTGGGCGGCAGAGCAGAGAGGCTGTGGCCAAAGAGGAACACCAGGAGACTGGGCTAGTCCCGGTGAGGGGCACTGAGACGGTGACTGACAGCGTGAGAATGGGAGCTGGAACTTGTTTGCCTGCGGGACAGGGAGAGGAAGAAGTCCGAGGTCTCTGAGCTGGGGTGGCTGCAGAGCCAGGGAGGGGAGGAAGTGTGGTGGGCAGGGGAGCTGGGGGGAGTCCACTGCGCTGGGGGAGACAGGCCAGGGCGCCCCGGACCAGGGCGACCCCGCGGGGCTGAGGGGCTCCCCGCCAGCACACTGGGTGAGGTGGGGATGGGTTAGGAGAGTTCCGAGGGGGAGGCTGGGGCTAGCACCCTTTCTGCCCTCCCCTCTCCTTCCCTTCCCGGGCTCTTGGTAGAGCATCTTCGAGCGCTATTTCATGGCCTCATTCCTCCCCCTAGAGGCTTCTGGAAGCAAAGCTGCTTTCTCCTGAGGGTGAATGGATTTGTGGCTTGAATTCTTTGGTCAGAGTCCCCAGAGTTGCCTGGGTCAACTCCTTGGCCTTCCTCAGGCAAGCAGGTGAGCCGTTTTAGGAGCTGGGGGCTGGAGGGACACAAGATTTGTGGCGGGTGGTTTCTAGAGATCGTGCTGTCGTGCTAGGAGTGTGGGGGAGAGGCTCCCATCACTGTGCATCCTCAGGTGGCCACAGCAGCAGGAGCCAAAGTGCTCCATCTACGCCGTCTGGCCAGCTGGGGTCCTAGTCCTAGTCCTCCACCGCTCACCAACTGTGACCCTGAGTGAGAAATTTTACCTTGTTAAGCCTTCAGTTCCTCATGGTTTAAATTGACAGAAAAGCACCCATTTCAGAGGTGTTCCACTGTGGTCCTTAGCCCGATTATATAACTCATTGTCAAAACCAAGCTTTTCCCCTCCGTGAGCCAGGAAGTATGGCCCCTGGAGTAAAGATGGATGTGAAAGTGACGTCATTATCGCAAATCCCGTGCACAAGTGCGTAGTTACCGGGACCACTGCAGGCCCTGGAAGGCTGTTTGGACTCCTCTCCACCAGCCCTTACTTCCCGGGCTGGGGTCTGCCCTCCAGCCAATCTGAGCAGCTAGGGGCTTGAGCTCCCCCTCCCTGTCCTGACCATCTCCCAGATGGACTGTTCCACTCCCCTGGGACCTTGCCAACCCAAGACGCTCACTCCAGAGGATTGGGATGATGCCCCCTCCAGAGGGTATCAACAGGGGCAGGGCTTGGCCCTGGCCCTGGGCTGGGGGTTGGCCCAGTACCTTCTCTACACCAGGACCATGACTCTGGGCAAATGGTGTTTACCATTACTATTTATAGCCTCAGCTGCTCCTCTGGCCGGGTCACGAGTGAGGGGCAGGGCGGCTCCTCCGAACGAGGGTGGTAGTCGGGCTGAGGGGAACCCGGCTGTGCCCAGCTGCCACCACCCAGACCCCCCGGGCCCCTCCCCAATGGCTGAGGAGACCTTCCCCTTCACCTCGTCCACGCTGCGGGCTCTCCGCCTGCAGCGGGAGTGGCTGGAGTGGGAGGACCGGCGGCGGGCTGCGGCCCAGCAGTGCCGGAGCCAAAGGTGCCCCCCCAGTGCCCGGGCCCGACTCACCAGGCCGCGCCACTGCTGCCGAGACCCAGCCGTGCACAACGCTCTGTTCTCTGGTGACCTACAACAGGTCCAAGCCCTGTTCCAAGAGGAAGACACTGCCAACATGATTGTGGAGACTGTGAGCAACCAGCTGGCCTGGTCAGCTGAACAGGGTAGGGAGCACCAGCGGGGCCGAGGAGGACGGAGGGAGAAGAGGGAGGGGACAGGGACGGGAAAGGCTTGGCCCCATCCTCCTTCCAGAACACAGACTAGACCTTTGCTTTTCACTTAGCAGAGATGAGGCATTGTTAGTGGTTTGTATGTCTTTTCAGGATTAAAATTATATTACCATGTGAATTACATAGGAACACAGTTATATTCTAATGCAATCTTTTCTCTGAATATGTGTGCATGTATATATATATGTATATTATAATTTATATATATATAACATATATAATTACACATATGTATAATGTAAAGATTTTATTTTCAAGGGGCACCTGGCTGGCTCAGT